TTTGTTTTTTTCATTCTACACTAACCAGCGGTGATGTGGGCTGAAAGATAAGTACTGCTTATCACAAGGTTGGTGGTTCAAACCCACCAACTGCTTCTCAGAAACCCAGTACAGGGTCCCTATGAGTCGTAACGCAACTATCATCAGAGACAAGAAAATATAACTATTGCTTTATTTATACTTTGAATAGTCTGTATCTTTGGATTGTTATTTCTGTCTAATCTGCATTTGGCATGTAACCATTTTCTGTCCTGACTCTTGCCCTTGTTACATAAGTTACAACCTAACTAGCAACTCCCCAGCCTTTTTTACATAGTTTTTTTTTTTTTTTTTTAAGTTTTTATTGTGAATTGAGTGATAGTTTACATCAGTTTTACATTCATAGTTTCATTGCAATGATTACAATCTTCTCTGTGCATCTATTCCCTTCTTAATTTTTTTGGGGGGGGAGTGGGATGTACACAGAAATACTCCAGAATATATCATAATTTAAACAACCAAAGGGCACATTCTGCAAGCCTGCCTCCTCGCTGCCAGCTCTCAATGTTTTCTTTTCCCATGAGTCTAGAGTCCTCAGCTGCTCCCTCTCTCTATCACTGTCTCCATCTCTGGTGTCACTGCTTCTCTGGAGAGGGTCCCACTTTCTGCTTGCAGCAGCTCCCTTTTAAAAAAGGGTTTCAAAAAGTTGAAATAAAAATGGAATGAAAAGATCATGGATTTTCCCCCACAAACATTTTGAAGCCCCCTTGTATATCAGTCCATGACTCACTTGTTTTTAATGTCTCAATATTGCAGAGCCATAGATTAAAAAAGTCACATGATTCTCTCAGTTTTATCCTGTTTCTCTCCTAAAAAGTTTAGTTGACTTCAACTAAGGAGTTCTCCAAGAATAAAATTATTTTAGTGTTTGTTGTTGTTCTTGTTAGGTGCCATGGAGTCGCTTCCAACTCATATTGACCCTATGCACAGCAGAACAGAACACTCTCTGACCTGAGTGAATTCTTATGTTTGGTCCAATTGTTGTGATCACTGTGCCAGTCCATCTCATTGGTGATCTTCCTCTTTTTCATTGACTTGAAGATCCCAAGCATGATAACCTACTAGGAGGGAATGGTCCCTCCTAATAATATGTCCAAAGAACAAAGGATGAAGACTTGTCATTCTTACTCTGGAGGCACATTCTGCATGTACTTCTTTAAATACAGATTTATTTGTTCTTCTTGCAGTCCATGGACTGTTCGATATTCTTCTCCAACACCATAATTCAAATGTGTTGATTCTTCTACAGTCTTTCTTATTCATTGTTCAACTGTCACATACATATGAGGTGATTGAAAATGCCGTGGCTTGAGTCAGGTGCACTTTAGTCCTCAAACTGGCACCCTTGCTTGAACATATTAAAGAGGTCTTGTGCAGCAGGTTTGCTTAGTGCAATTTGTTGCCTGATTTCTTGACTGCTGTTTCTATAAATGCTAATTTTATCCAAATAAAAATAAAATCTTTGACCAAGTTGTATTTTCAATAATGTTACATGTATTAGAGGTGTGTGAGACAAAACCAACTCTATACCTTTCTTGGTTGATTACCAAATAAACATGTACCCCCAACCCTCTTTTCCCCCCTTGTTGTTGTTATGTGTCATTGAGTCGATTGCATCTCATAGCAACTCTGTACAGGGCTTCCAAAGAGCGGCTGGTGTAACTGACCTGTGGTTAGCAGTCCAGTGCTTACCCTGCAGTGCTACATCAGCCTCCACCTAATAGTCACATTCTTAAGAGGAATCTCCAAGTCAATTATAATCAGCTAGCATAGGAAGCCTCATTTTCCTTGATAAATACAAGATTTAGACATGGGCTATGATGTAATTCTGGCCAATTAGATGCGAAGGGAAGTTTTCTGGAGGAATTTGGGAACTTTTCCCACTTAAAAATGGAAATAGAGGTTGCCACCCTCATGGAATGCCAGGAACTCCTTGATGCCACTTAACAACCATCATGGGAGAATCACTGATCCATTGGTGACCAGATAAAAACATGAACACAGTCTCATCCCTGAATCTTTGACTTGGCCAACCCCTTACCTTCACTACAGTCAGATGTCTTGTGTAAGATTATAAATGTCACTATTAGCTGGATTTTCTGTGAACTGGAGCTGAAAGCCTCCTCTCTTATGTTTCAAACTTGTAGGGGAACTGGATCCAATGTGGAAAAGGAATGTATTGTCCATTTCTACTTGTGTTGCCCTTTCCTCT